TATAAAAATCCTTTTTTACGCTATTACGTGAGCATGAGTTTACTTTCCTTTTTTCGCCCCCTTTGTGTTTTCACGCGCGTATGAGTGTATTTCGACATGCAGTTACATATTTTTTTCTTTTTCAGGACGGCTGGAAAAGACGATAAAAAAACAATGAAGTTTGCGAGAAACGGAAATCTTCATTGTACTTTTTTTCATTTTTACTATATTGTCTTTCATGGTCCCTCATGGTAAGGAAAGACGGCCAGACGCTGCTAAACCTAGCGAGCTATCAGGAGAGTGTTTGCGAACGAAAAACTCGTTGGGTTTAAACTTCTGGCTGGCCACGTCTTAGAATCATCACTACCCCACTAGGGAGGAGTGATCTGTAGCGGTAAATAAATCCCCAAAATAAATAGCTCTGTACGTTTTCGACATTGTATGCCGACCACATTAGTTTTAATGGAATCATCTAGCTGAAGGCGCTCGGTCATGCATCCGCACGAGATCACGTGTGGGAACGCCGTGCTCAACATCTACTGCAATCGCTAGCCAGATTAGTACAAACGACCCTCGATATATTGATAGCTTATCATATATATCTTCGAACCTCCTTGCTTCTGTCTTTTGATTCCACTTGGTGGGTACGCTTCGTATTAGGTGTTACTAGTTAAAGCGTTGTCGAACTCCGAATACCTGTGGCATCTTCAGGATTTATTAGATGATCTAGCTTTTCTGTTTACTACAACTAATTATTAGATTAATGCCGTCATTGGAGGATGGATAGAACATTCAGGATTTTTTAGCCTTTGCCCACTCAAATTTACACAATTTATGCTATAAATTTCTGTACGATTACTTCTTTGGTTTAGATTCTAATGAAAGAATAAATAAAAAGTTTTATGTGTACACCGTCAACAAATTTAACGAGTTGTACCTGATTTTAAATCCATTAAATATCACGAATAATTACAAACATTCGGCCTTATCAGTATTTAGACAAGTATTTCAGAATACAGTACAATGAATTTGCTTGCTCCATCTGATCAAATGTATATTTTGAAGATTAGAACAAATAGCAAGCCAACAACAATCTTATGCGACAAACAAATATTTTTCTTCGCAAGTTCGTCAGTTGGCAGTATTAGCTTTTGTAACGATTGCAGATGTCTGAAGTATATTTTAGGCCTAATGGAGTCACCTTTTAACATAGACAGTATGTTAGGTTCGTTAAGCTTGAATGCTACTACTGATTCGTCTTACTCGAACGGAACGAAGGATCAAGGATTCAGAGACTCTATAGGCTATTCTGGTCCGTTGTTCACGACTCAGCTAACTCGATCAAGAAGTTTTGGTAAGACGTAGAAGTGTGTTCTACAGGCGACCAGCAGATACCAGGTCAATCAGGCACACAAATCAAGCGTATTTATATAAATACATAAAATCGATATTGTCACATAAATTTTTAGACATTCATCAATAAGTTTACTTCAGAGATCGATACTCATTGCACTCTTATTATCATGGTTGAACCCTTTCAGTAGGTATTCATTTCTTTTCTCTCTCTTCCTTCTAAACAAACGTTATTCTTATGTATCCGAAGTTTGTAATTAAGATAATATCTTGTGCTACCGTTGAAATTAACTTCTCAGGTTCGTTTTGTTTTCACTATGTATATGTGACTCATACATAATTATAATTGATTGTCCTTTGCAATTAATAAGGACTTCATAGCATCACCCCATACCATTACAGCACAAACACTTATTCTATCTTCATATCTTACTGCAATATTAAGTTATTTTCTTATTTCTTCGTTTAATTTTAATCTTTTTTCTTTTTGTTATTCATTTGGCGATACATACATAGTCGTTCATTCTTGTTTTGTGTTCACAAACTATTTATGTATTTCGAGTTTCCTTTACTGCTATTCCCTTATTTTATCCCTTTCCTCATTCAAAGTAAACTCAGTATTCTTTTCATTTACATGGAACCTGTTTTTTAAATATGGTAACTATTGTGCCAACATTATTGAAACTTGTGTATTATTTCATTTCTGAAGAAACCCAAAACAGTTTCTTCACATCATTTATGCACCCGTAAGTAGGTGGAATAATATGTTTGAGTGTAAGTAGACTTCGGGTTCAGACTGTAGTAGTAAATAAATCCCCAAAATAAACAGTTCCACAAGTCTTCGACATTTGATGCTGGCCGTACTAGTTTTGCTGGACTCACCCCGCTGAAGGCGCTCGGTCACATCCACAATAGACCACGAGTAGGTACGCCGTGTTACACATCGCCTGCAACTGTTAGCCGGTTTAAACCGAAGGCTTCTCAACAGATCGATGGCCTTTCAGTTATATCTTTGGACCTCTTCACTTCTGACTTCTGATTTGACTGAGTTAGCATACTTAGATTTTAAAAGTGTCGAACTCCAAATACTTGTGATATCTTTAGTGGTAAAAATGACGTGATCTGGCGACTAACTAGTAAACTGAGAGTCTGTTTCTTGTTGGAACATGATATATCATTTTTTGATTTCGTTTTACGTATTGTGATATTATTTTCAGATTTTCGAACTTTTTTCTTGCTCGTTGATGTATTATATCTTCGTTCGGATGGAACAGATAGCTAAGTTACTTAAAATTAAACCTCCCCCTCCCACTATTCAGCTAATACAATCTTCATTCAATAATTTAGAATCCTGGTTCTGATACACGGGAGCTGACTTCTATGAGCACATTATGGAAGACCTATGTGCACAATTCCCCGCACTAGTAATGGCGCCACCGCTCGATTTTAACAGGTACATCACACTTAGTATATTTACTGGTGGTGTCTCGAGGCCTTATGACCATACTTATGTGTGGAGACCTAACCAAATGACAAAGGCAAGGCTAACTCTTTCACAATATCGATCTGCAAAATGGCCCAGAAACAGAAATGTTGCTACTTATACGAGAGTTCCTTGGCCAATGGACACTTGACGAGGGCCCGCATAGTTGGCCTTTCTTGTCTAAGTTTCCTAAACAGGTGTTGGCAGCACTTGTATCGTTTCAAAATAACGCCGTAGACGAACTGGCTGCATCCGCCTACTGTACTCTGGAGATCACTAGAACCCCCAACACCGATGTTTCTTTTGGCAAACGAAAGCCTTAAACAATGCAAGACGACACCACAGACCTCTGTCACACTCAGAATTGTTATCCCGATATTTACTTAATCGTAGATGCCCTCAAACTCCTCGAAGAAGTATGTCACGGTGGACATCAGTTTCTCAACTATGAAAGACGGATAATCCTTATTGGTGCTGATACCAAAATGAATATGGCAAAGCTTCCCGAAATTGCAGGGAACCCCGGAGTTCTCCGGACTCAAAACAATCTGTTACAAAAAAACCTTTCAGGAAACTACCAAGCCGTCACGCGTTAACGGCACCTGCAGTCGGAGGGCATATTCGTCTGTTATACAACATTGACGTAACGACGAAAGTTCACTATCTCATCGATACTAGAGCAGAAGTAAGCGTTCTTCCGGCGAATTCTAACGATCGATTGCACAAACCGTTTTTCAACTTACAAGCGGCGAATGGCAAACCGGCTGTCTAATATGGTATGCGACATGTTTGTCTTAACGTGGGTTTAAGCAAACCCATTCCCTGGATCTTCGTTGTTGCAAATGTTTCTATGCCAACCATAGGTAAAACCTACTAGAACACCATAATCTACTCATCGACACGCAAAAACGGAGTTAAGCAGATGGAAATATTTATTCATCTGTGTGCATGATTTTTTTCTAGCTGTAGGCCATCCCCAATCACTGTAAAGCACATAATCGGTCTATGGTATAAACGGATACTTGACAAGTACCCTGAGCTGTGCAGAACACGACCGAAACTTACCATGTGCAACCAGCAGTGTTAAAAGATACATCATCAACACAGGACCAACTGTATTTTCGAAAGCGTGCCAACTAGCTCCCGAAAAACTATGGTTGGCCAAAAATGAATTCGACCATAAGATAGATTTAGGAATCGTTCGGCCATCCAACAGCCCATGAGCATCCCCATTGCACAAGGTCCCTAAAAGGACAGCAACGATTGTTGTTCAACTGATGACTATCGGTGACTGAATGTGAAAATAATTTCTGGAGGTTACCCGTTGCCTCAAATTTACGATTTAAAAGCTATCTTAAAAGGCGCAACTGTTTTTTTCGGAAATCGATTTCATTAAAGCGCATAACCAAATTCTCATGGCTGCTGACGAAATTCCTAAAACTGTGATCATCACCCTCTCTGAACTTCACGAGCTTTTGTGCATGCCTTTCGGTTTGAGAAATGCTGCACAAGCATTCCACAGTTTCATCGATGACTTCCTTCGAAATTTCAAATTCGTACATTCAGATGCAGATGACCTCTTGATCTCGATTCCAGATAGAGAATCTCATCTTCAGAATCCGCACCTTGTTTTCGAACGACTCCAAAAATATGGCATTACTGTAAATATTCAGAAATGTCAAATTAGTACCGACTCCCTAGATTTCTCTGGACATATTATTGATACTCAAGGCATCCGCCCTCCGTAAAGCAAAGTAATAGCCATTTTGGATTATCAAGAACCGAACACAATCAAGCAACAACGGTCTATTAAGTTTTTATCAACTGTTCATACCGGTTGAGGGTCTCATGCGAGTACAGATGGATTTAAGACTGGAAAAATCGACAGAAACACAAGCTAATGACAAGTATGATAATCAACTAAAAAATGTTACTAAAAGATGTGTTTTAAAAATTCCTAATCCTTAAGGGAATAACTCAAATTAAAGTCTACCAAGTATGCTACTGATTAAATAAATACACAAAGCAAAGTTAATGCACAAGTATGAAATTGTTGTCCGTTTTTAAAACGCATCTGTGCAACCTAATCACACTGAAATAATGGTTTATTTTATCTGATTAGAAAAGAAAGAATATAGCAGACTGCCTGTCTGAATAATCTGTCTATTGAAGACTATAATTGTTTGAACTACTTAGGACGAACGGAGTGGGATTCAAGGCTACTCATCCGTGGTTTGTTACAACTGGAGTAATGGGGGCTACAAACAAGGTGGAAGACAAAAATGTGGTTTCCGATTCTGGCAGTGACTCGGACGACTCTGCGCCAGAAATAGAAGATTCTAAAGAACAAAGTGATGCTAAAGTATCACATGTGGCCGATGAATTACTAAGTCGATGTAAGCAGTCCAGAAGCGAAAAAAAAGCTAGGAAAGCAATGTCGAAGCTGGGATTAAAATTAGTACAGGGAGTTTGCCGCGTAACTATAAGAAAAGCAAAGACCATTATGTTCGTTATCAATAGGGCAGAGGTTTATAAATCATCTGCCTCGGACACGTACATTATATTTGGTGAGGCTAAAGTAGAAGATATATCAGCACAAGCTCAGATAGCTGCAGCTGAAAAACTTCGTAGTCAAGCTATGGGAGGTGCTGACCTAGGGACCTCCAGTGGTCTATCAAAAGATACAGTTTCATCTATCTCCAAGACCGCCATCGCAGAAGAGTCTGAAGATGATGAAGAGGTAAAATAATTATAATTAAGTTGATTCTGCTTAGCCTGATGCTACTGGATTAGATGAAAAAGATGTTGAGCTCATTATGCAACAAGCTGGTGTATCGCGTGGTAAAGCTATTCGAGCACTCCGTGAAAATAATGATGATGTAGTCAATGCTATTATGGTAGGATCTGTTTAATCTAATTGTTTTATCTCTTCTAGTCGCTCACAGGATAGCCGAAAAATTATGATGACATACAACTCATGTCGTGAATAATTCAACAAGTATTTTTGAATATTATTTCTCATCATATTCTAAAAGAATTTTTTCACTGGTTTCGAACTTTTGCATTATTTGACCACTTGTCTCTTTTTACGCTTCCTCAAAAATTAAGTACAGCATTACACAATAGGAAAATGCGAAATTTATTCTGTGGTAGTAAACTAATTTAAATTAATAATGATGCCGTAATTTAACGTTAAGTCCAACTTCATTTCTATTTATGTATTGTTTTGGTCGTCACTAATTAATTCTGAAAACTTGTTTCTTGAGAAAAATTATATAGAGGTTAACCTTACGTCTAGGTCACTGTCAATTGTGTTTGTCACTCACCAAGTACATTTGTACTTAACTGAAGTGAAATAGATGAAAAGCGTTCATGCACCAGGTCTGTTAAGAATTGAATGGTTCCATCATAGTTGTTACGATGAGTAATTTGGCGAGATCGTTTAATTGCTCATCTCATAGAAACATTATTTGGAATGTCATGTCACTACTGTGTATGCTTTTGTAGTTGTGGCTAGCGGTTGCCCTCTATTGTTATAGCTAGTAGTGTTGTGTACCAGGTAAATGTACTCTAAAGAGACGAGTTGATTCCAAGCAGTAGATTTGACCAGCTTTCCACTCTGTATATTGTACCAGGTGATGAGGTAAAGATGTTTTCGTTACTCGTTATACCGATAGATGTAGAATAGTTGTATTTTAAAGGGACGTTTGTTCACATAACAATAGGGACTACGGTATCAATCACGAAATTGGGGACTACTCGAGAATGCTTTAGTATCTCATATAAAGTTGGGCTTATGTCGTTCTTGTTCCGTAGTAATTTTTTTTACCTGTGATACAGCCGTGGTACAAAATATGATGCAAAACAAACTGGATAGTGTTTACGACTGTTGGATTTTTCTATTATTCATGATTATGGCTTTCTACTCGTTATCACATAATGGTATTACTTAGTCGAGATGACACGAGAATCGTCATTAACATACAGTCAATAGCTAAATAAATATACCTGTATATTTTATTTACAACGTGTTCTGCATAATTTATCGACAGTGCAATTAAAAGAATTAATTGTTCAAATAATCGTATTGGCCAACAGCTTTCATAGTCACAGTTCACTGATTCTGTAGCAGAGATTCGGATAAAGAACTCGTGTTTGTTCAATTTACTATATATGAGGACATAAAGACGCACAGGTAGTCTTCCGGGTGACGAGGCTGAGCGCAAAGTTCCGGTCCCTCAATCAAGGACTCTCAAAACTAGTTGATTTGTACTGTCATATCCAGCAAACGACAGAACACTGACGCAAATATTTGAGTTCAGGTTAGTAGTGTATGTTCTTCAAGATTAGTCCCAGGTGGATATTTGGCCGATTACTTCGATAGGAGACGAACGGTTTTTGTCAAGGGTAACAACAATCTGACTAATCCCAAACCAATAAAAAAACCAAGAGGGAATTGGTTCGGAAACGTTAATGTAAATGCATGAAGTACTACCTATCAACGTAGTGAATCAGTCAAAAATCTTCAAAATTGCGTTTTAGAAAAAAAGCCCAGCATGATCAGTTACTGTGAGTACATGAGAAAAAACTCCGGTGACTTTAAATCATGAACTAAAAGCAGTCCCTTTCATAGCATTGAGAAATGCTATTTAACTTTTTTTGACAGGCTTAAAATGCGACATGGAGATTACTCATATCACTTACTTTCCATGTTAACGGGGATATATTGTAACCTTTGTGCTAAACTATTGCACTCTGCTTCGTTTGGTACATGGGTTAAGGAAAACAAATGCTGTATTACACACTATGATATGGACTGGTATTATGCAATGTTACATCGTTAATTAGTTTAGCAAAGCTGGATTTAACTCACGTCATGTAGATCAGACTGGTCATGTTTGAGCTGGCTATCAACAGTAACCATTTTACTGAAAATGGTGTATAGGTTGGAAGCTGTGTTATGCAAATGATCCACCTGGTATTGTGGTGGAAATCCTGAATGTTTCCACCTAAAAAGCTTAGTCGTTCAACCGTATAACTGACAGGAAGTTCTATGCGACTTCCTGGACAAAATTACATTTGAATATCGCTTACTACTAAGTGACGATAGTGCCTAGTCGGTCGAATGGTTGTTCGAGACGTATCTGCTTCAGTTTTGGCAACCGAGTAATATCACTAACCGACACTTAAATTGTGCCTAAAAACCAAACTTATTAACTCAATTACTTCTAATGTTTCAACCTATGCACCAGCATCAAATAGCTGTTTGGTTTCAATATATTTGACAGATGATGATTTTTAGGATAAGCTTATTGCAAATAAATATTAGTACAAGGGGGCACCAGATATATATGCGCCACACAAAACAATGAGAATGGGAAGAGAAAAAGGATATAAGAAAAAAGGAACAAAGACGACCACAGATTAGTGTGTGATAGTGTAATAATAATAGTGGGGGGAACGGAAAAGTACAAGCAGTTACAACCACATTTTATGAAGAAAGTATAAGAAGGTTACAGTGGGATCGCCACTGGATTCTATTCTGAGCCATATCCGATAACGTCTTCACCCACTGTGTCGCACCATCTCTCGGACCCCAGCCAGGGAGTCAAGAAGGACCAACGGAAGCCAGGTCTTTGTAGCTTTCTTTCATACTCCGAGACCATGTCATACACTGACCACCGCTCCGATTTTTCCAACCAGTCCCAGAGTCGGCAAATAATGCACGACGTGGAGTTCTCTGGGTCGACATCCGTAGAACATGTCCAAGCCACCGAAGTCGATGTTTCAAGATGGTGACGCCAATCGGATTATCGTCTCTGTGCCCGAACACGATGCCGAACCTTTGCATTACTAACATGCTGTTGCCACGGGATGTCAGCAATCCTTCGGGGTAAACGATGAGCAAACACAGAGAGTCGTTTAGCATCCTCAACTTGGAGAGGTCAGGTTTCACAAACAGAGCAGAAGTGCTCCCACCGACGAGTTGTAGATCCGATCTTACACAGCCAGACGAACATCGCGAAGGCGTCAAAGATGGCCCAGAATGGCATAAGCCGCGTTGGCTTTCATTATACATGAATTGATCTGATCACCACCGCCACTTACAGAGACACCCAGATACACGAACTTCGACTATTTCTGTTTGCTCACATTTGGTGGTGGGTGAATATATGATCAATACATCCTCGACCAGGACAAAAAGCAGCATGCTCATCGCGAGTAATTAGTTTTAGGGTTTAGTACGATCTACGAATTATGACGGAATCCAGTAGTTTGGATGAGATCGGAAGTAGATTCAAACCACGTGAACACTTTGTAAAGATAGGGACAACTATTGGCTCATTCTGCGATATTGGAAAATTTTCTAATTCCCAGACCTTTGTAAACGACTTAGCCAGTTCCTTAACCAGAATTTCGCTACTATGTTTAAAAAAAGACTGGAAGTAAGTCATCTAGGCCTGGTAATTTATAGAGCTTAAGGAGTTAGGGTTCTTTGCAGATTCCCGCCTCGTTAGGCGGAAATATTGATACAAAGGGCCACCGAATACATATGTGCCACACATGTCACTTGGTTTGTGTGTTGGCCGTAGTACTTCCCGGGTGCCCAGACCGAAACAGGTGGTTTGTTAGGCGGCCACACCCGGGGCCTTCGAACTAAAGGTCTGATCCACAGTGCAGTGGAGTAATGTAGAGATGCAGTCCCATGGTAGCCGTTGGCCAATACTTGGTTCATACGCCGTTTGGTCCCTCAGGATGCTGGAGCCCGTGTGCACGATTGGTTTGTAATCAGGGTTTTCCTACTCCCCTAGGTAGATCCTCCATATCTACCAACCCGGTTAAAGCGAGAGACAAACGCTTCTCGTCCTCTTAATTTCGTGAACAGCACTCTCGACGTGAGGAGGTAGGGAGAAGGACTTCTCTGGCAGTAGTTGAATGCGCGTGGCCTTGCGACTGCATCTCGAGAGGAAGAGCTAACCCCCCTACCCTTGTCTGTACTAACATGTATCCAATGCAAGGTTGTCTTCCACAACACACAGCAAAGTCAAACTCCGAAGGACAAGCCAGTTTAAATGTGAATCTGCAGGCAACCTTCAAAGCTACACTTACATCACTTCAGAAATGTAAGCAAAAAACGAGCGTTGTTGCTACCTTGATGTGGTGGTCTGGTTTGCCTATCGTGATGAAGCAACTGAGCTATACTGGCTGGAAAAACCGTCCCTTAAGGCCCTACCATGCCAGACAGGTCGGTTGAAGAGCAGTAAGTCTAAAAGCAACAAATCCAAGGTCCGAAGTCGTACTGCTAACTGTACAGAGGTGTGAAGGCAGTAAGGTGTTTCCTTCAGACAACCAGCATAAAAGCGATGTTGCCTTCGCACAAGAGGGGGTGGAGTTAGAAAAGGTCACCTTATCCCACGAATATCCGTCTCCGGCGGTAAGGTCTCAACAAGTACGAACTAACACAAAAACTACTCATAAAAAGGTCGTGTATGACTGACCTCAAGCAGCTGTCCCTTGGAATCTGCGGTCACACTCTCAGGATCCTCAGACCACCTATAACCCAGTTCCTTTTTCAGGTACCTCTAGAAGAACCCTTCTACGGTGTGGGCAACCGGAAAGTGATAGCCGCCCTCATACCTCTAACAGCACTGAAGGCCACTGTATTCATAATCGGTCAACAGGCTTCCTTGGCTAAAACCCTAGAATCTCGTACAATTGATGTATGCTGTGTCTCCGAAACACGCATACAGGATCCTAGTGTGGTAATTCACTTGACCTCTGCTCGGCAAAACGGAGAGCCAACGAGATACACCCTCCGTGTATCTGGCGACCCGATGGCTAGTTCTCGTGGACTGGCAGGTGTAGGCATAGCTTAAACGAAACAGAAAGACATTCAGGTGGGTTTTTTATTGTGCTGGCAAAGCGAACAGATGATGGTGATCGTCTGCTGCAACTGTGCTCAGACAATCGTTTATTTTTAGCGAACACAAATTTTAAGTATAAGGAGAGACATCGTCTAACATGGCGACCCCCTGCACCAAACCAACGATGGACTCAAATAGACCGTATTGCCATCAGTCATCGTTGGAGAGGGTCGATAGAAGATTGTCGCTCATTCTGGAGTACCTGTTTGGACTCCGAACATGCCCTAATACGAGCACGCATCTGCTTGCGCCTCACTGGACGCAGAAAAGCCACACTAAAAAGACCCATTAGAACTGAACTGAGTAACGAGAAAACCAATCGTAGGTTCCAAGAACAACTGAGGTCACACTTAGGTAGTTCTGAAAACGAGGCTGACCCAGATGTTGCTTGGAAAGATGTACAATCAGCTGTGGAAACTGCTGTGACATCTATTAGTAATTTAAACCACAGGGTTACAAAGAACCAATGGATTTCATCCCATCAGGCTCTGAACACGATGAATAGCTGAAGCAAATCAGATCTAGGTTAAGCAAAAGTCTAAGGAACGACCGTGAGCAGTGGTGGGCAACGAAAGCAAAAGAGATGGAAAAGGCGGCGGCTATAGGGAACACAAGACAACTCTACAGACTAATAAAAAAAACTGGAATTAATAAATCAAGTGTAAGTCAGACTATCTCGGAAAAAAAAGACACTCACATCTGCTCCCAGTCCAGACGTTTAGAACGATAGGCGGAACACTTTAAGGAGCAGTTCAGTTGGCCTTCAGCTACTCAACAACTACCCACCATTCCCAGACAGTGTGAATGGAACATTGAAGTAGGTCCCCCAACTCTAGCTGAAGTTCAAAAGGCTATAGTTGATCTAGAACGAGGAAGGGCAGGTGGTCTAGTTTTAGCGACTAGGTTGACTAATATCACTTATCGTCCCAATAAATAAGAAAGGGTCAAAACCATCCTGTGACAACCATAGAGGGATTAGTTTGACTAATATAGCATATAAAATACTAGCCTCGATAATTACCGGACGCCTAAGACTCGTGAACTACAAACATGAGAGAATCAAGCTGGCTTCAGACCTGGTCGTGGCTGCATGGACCACATATTCACCATTCTTCAGGTTCTAGGACGCAGGCATACTTATCGGCGTCCGACAATGGTGGTCTTCCTTGACTTAAAAGCAGCATTTGACTCTGTTGACCGAGAGGTTCTGTGGCAGTGTCTGTCATTGAAAGGCGTACCTCAGAAGTACATAAACCTTGTGAAGGCTCTTTACTCCAACACTACTAGTTGAGTCAGAGCTTATGGCGAACTGTCATCTGCTTTTGCAACCTCAAGTGGTGTCCGTCAAGACTGTCCACTTTCTCCATTTTTGTTCAATTTCATCATAGATCTACTGATGGAAATAACGCTCTCATCGACTGAATTCTCGGGCATTGATCTCCTACCAGGAGGTCCACTTATCGACTTGGGATACACAGATGACATAGTCCTGTTTGGTGAAGACGCTGATAAAATGCAGTCTTTTGGTAGCACTGACCAACAATGCCAGGATGTTTGGGATGCGCTTCTCTCCCTCTAAATGCAAGTTGTTGCTTCAGGACTGGGCTGCGTCAACACCTGAACTAAGGATAGGGAGTGAAGTAGTCGAACGCGTTGACAACTTCCCTTATCTTGGAAGTCTGATCAGCCCTAATGGATTGGTGTGCGACGAAATCTCAGCACGGATTCGAAAAGCTCGTTCGGCCTTTGCCAACTTACGTCATCTATGGCGAAGGCGAGATATCCGTCTATCAATTAAGGGACGAGTATACTGCGCGGCAGTTCGTTCTGTTCTACTATACGGCTGCGAAACATGGCCTCTAAGAGTACAAGATACTCGTAAGTTACTAGTATTTCACCACAGATGCCTTAGAAATATTGCTGGGATCACCGGTAAGTAATTGTTAGGTTAGGCGCAGGGTATTAGGGAATGATGGTAAATCAGTTGATGAGGTCGTGAATCTTCATCGACTGAGATGTTTGGGTCACGTATTGCGTATGCCTGAACACCGATTACCACGACCCGCAATGCTAACCGGTGTTAGGGATAATTGGAAGGAAGTTAGGGGCGGCCAAACCAAAACGTGGCATCAGTGTGTGAAGACACTAACTTCTGGTTTGAGCCATGTTGGTAGATGAAGACTTCCTGGTTGGGGTCCGCGTGACTATCGTAACCAATGGTTGGAGACTCTTGGTGACATGGCTCAGAATCGATCACAACGGCATCGGTATATACAATCTTTGTCTTCCTTCAAACTAAGAGATTGAAATCACTTCATATTTTTCTTCCTGTACTATCTCCTTATATGCGATCTTTCTTCTATATATTACCACCACTGGATTAACTACTTCTATGAATCCGGTGTTCATCTTTTTGTGCTAATGAGGTATGGCAACTTGGACCGATGCATATATGTGCCTGGTCCTACGTTGCAGCTGACTGAAAAAAGAGCAATAAAGTTACTTCATGTTTCGGGTTCTAAGCAAATAAGCAATAGTTCCTTACAATGAATTTCTTTTGTAAATACAGGAAATATTATGTTAGATAGCAGGTTAGTGACTATTTGTGGACAAGCTTACTAGTAAAGCCTAAATAAATTGATAGCCCAGTCAGGACTGTCTTCCGGTGTTAGTTGGTTTTATCATACCGTTCAATCTGTCGAACTTATAATTTTCGTCACTCGCTCCTACAGCGTTTGTGAACAAAGGGCAACTACTAGTGGGGTGAATGAAGTTTCTGAACACAAGATTACTTGGTTAGGAGTTTTAATAGGCGAGCTATTCATTATTAAGTCATAGTCTAATATATACAGGACTTCATTATATGAGATCAGGAGTAATCTACAATACTGAGCTTTTGTTGGGATTACGTCGCGCACACCATTCAGCTAAATATCTAAATTTTGAGGGGCAAACCAAGTCCCGGTTGTATCGTAGGCATATTATTCTTGTCCATTCTTTGGTGTCGACGTGAGGTTCTGTAGTGTCTGTCTTACAATAGCATGTCTTTGTGGCATTGTAAAATGTAGTCCATCCACAGAAAAGCATCGGACTACGTTGACAGACTTCTCAGAAACACATACAAAATAAGGATGTCAAGATGGAGTGAGGTAACCTATAGTTGGCTTCGTAAAAATGCTTGACAAAATTTAATCATCAAAATCCACCAAATAGCAACGGCAGTTGTATTTCATTGAGAAATGAACCCATGATATTATATGCCGTTGGTTGTAAAACAAAATAGCAGTTAATATAAACCGAATAGGACGTCTAGTACGTAAATGAGTCTGGTTGAGCAACTAGTAGAATTGCGAGTGACTGTCTTTTCAGTCATTTTGCAGCATAAAATCCTCTATACCTAAAGTCACTTGCCTAAATTAATACATACAGCAAATTGAGGACTGGATTTAGTTCAAAGTACTCTGCTCCGCAAACTGCAATCGGTTTCTGAGCAGCTACGGAAGTATCTCCGTACGAGTCATTAAATGAGTGACTTGTCCATTTGTCTAGTGAATTTTTGACGCCACAAGTGCATAAAACCCGGGGTTCGAATAAAAATAGAAATTGTCTTAAATGTTACTGGGTACTATTGACCGAAATACTTCTTGCCGGAGCCTCAACAGAAAATTTTCATGGATATCTGAGGTTTATCAGTAGGAAGAGGCATGTTCGTCGCGTGCCTATTCTGAAAGGCAACTCATAACTGTAATGATATTGACTACCTTTCTTCTGATAACAGAATTCATGGAGACGAGCATACAAAGATGTTGACAAAAAGTATCCGCAAACGCAAGCCTATTTGGTGAGCACTTACGAACAACCACTTCAGTAACTGGCTGTAGGATCACTCCATTACTGAAAATCTGAGAATACCAAGAAAAGTTGCAACACTCTTACAGTAATATCACTGGAGTTCACTTACACAGATTTTTCTTTCGACCCGCAAAACGTGTCTACAATGCCTTTTTTGTTGTTGGACAGCTACAACTACGTAACCTGTTGTCATAGGGTATATCACACACACATGTCTCAGTTTGGGCCGTACAGTATCAAAGCTTGAGTTGAAATTAGAAAATATTTCATAAACATAAAACGCACGAAAGCTTGCAAACATGGTCAGATTTGTTGCTTTTATACCCGGACTTAATGGTTTAGAGTTCCTCTACATTGGGCCTTGAAGCTAAAAGCACAATTCAAGTTTTCTGCTAATATAATCATCAACTACATTAGTAACTTGCATGGATGGACCGGTATCTTTTAGGACATGAACTCTATGAAGACTGTCGCCGTCTGAGATTTCAAAAAAAGACAGAGATGGCCACACAAATACGTTATTATTTTTACTTCGATTTCTCTCGACAAGAGAACGCAATAAGAAACGTCAAGTTGCTCAGTAGGTGACATTTAGAACTAGCAGACGGAAATAGCACTAATGCGTCCATAACAAGTATATCAGATGCTACTTAGTGATTAGAACCATCACATGACTTTACCACCTGGCGTGTATGTATGCACTCGAAGATATAACACGCTATTTTGCGAAGTAAACTTGTCGAGACACTTTGACTAGCTATCGCAGTCGGTTTAACTTTGCATTGCTGGAGTTAGTTAGTCTTAATCCAAACACAATGAAACAGTTTTAGGACATTTCAAGCAGCAGTGCAACAGACAAGTCGATCATAATGAAATGCAAATACTAGCATGGCTTTTTATTTAGACTGTCAGATAAAATTCTAGAGATTGAAGGTCATTAACGAGATGAATTTAGAACTTAATGAGTAACAATTGAAAACGAATCATTCCTGTCTACTTCAGTCGCAAGTTTGATCAATCATTCGAAATTCGGGTCATTTATTATTGAGGGATAATTCGGAATAGGCGATATGTTACAGCGCTAGGCTTAAGCATATTCCGCCTGGGACCACTGCAACTAATCTGACCGTAAGGTCCCATATTCTGATTGCCACGAAAGCCTTACTGAGACAATAGGACCTTTAGTTTGATTCAAGTTCAAGCTATCAACCATGGAATTTCTTTTGACTGACACTTGGAGCCGTCACAATTGATGTCTTTGAATAAAAAGTTGCAGAGCGTGAAGTCAAAATGTTAAATATGTCAAGTGGGTTGTTACTTTAGCAGTATGAAACTGCTAACGTATATCTGAAGTTTCCGAGTTCAATCCTAGGCATGCGACTATCGGGTGTAAAACACAGACTGACAACCGTCCTCGTATACAGGCTTCTGTTTTTCACTGTTATGTTAATTCAACGCAGACAATACGACCGATCATAAATTTTATGGGCTAAGGTTGGTTGAGTGAATGGAAGACCAGGAGCCTTATTCCTTTTCGTTATAAATTAGTGACCGAAGAACTTTTACATGTAAAAATGGTGACTTAACATTATGTACGTAATCTTTAGATTATGATTTTACATGATGTCGGTTGATGCTGTTGCAGCATACATATCTACGTTAATCACCAGTTACGTTCAGAAGATTGAATGGAATATCCAGTGCTAAATTATATTTATGCAGTCAATATACAAGCTCCCCCAACTGCTTTGATTTTTTCTTCTGCTTTCCGAGAGAAAAACCGGGCTTTAACAATAACTGGGACTTTCGGAAGATACCCCTTGCCTAGGACTTTAAAGTAACCCTATAAGGACCGATCGATACATTAGATGTTAGCACTTACCTTACGCAAACAATCTATTACAGGAGCTTTACCGTCAGTGGAGTCTCTATACTTTTCGTATGTCGCTTGCGATACTAAAGACCATATTTTATCCAGGTTAATTGTTGGACAGTAGTAGGGGTTTCTTTTAAGATGATAATGGCGCATACCAACTTTGCCAATATAGCCAGGATGGTACTTATCCATGTTGATACGATGATGATGTTCAAGACCTGCATTACCCCGTCCTCCAGGATGCTTGCGATGTTTCCCTACTCGTCCATGGCCATGACTTACGTGGCCACGCAACTTCCTTGTCTTTTTGGCCTTGATACGAGACTATAACACAAACCAGATGAATTTTGTGGAAACGACGATACTAACCATAGACTCCTGATCCCACCACGATGCAGAGTAGCGCGCCGAAACTGCTGAACGTTCGGTACACCATCCAAACAAATGTGCCTCATTACTACTATATGAAAGTGGTGGCCTACTTGTTTCATTTTAATGACTGATCTCATTTATTTTCCAAAGATTCGTAATGGAATTAGGTGGTTTCTTAATTTTAGACTCGCTAGATAACATCTGTATTAAATGGAGTTTAAAATGACTTATGCCTGTTACCTCGCCGTAACTTAGTTTAGGTCACCCATCAAGACTCTCTATCTGACTCTATCATGGGCAGTCCTTGATTTTTCCTTCCCTTTGTTCATTCTTTCCATATTTGCTTTCAATTTTCGACTCAATGTGTTCTCCACTCTATTCCGCTTACCTTCAGGATTCCAAGTTAGGGCATGCCTCGTGATGCAGTTTGATGATTTGCGTAATGTGTGTCCCATCCATCTCCAACGTATTTTCAGCGGTCCAGTAGGCTAAGCGTTCGCGCGCGAGATTGAAGTACCTGGGTTCGAGTCTAGCGAGCGGGATCGTGGATGCCCACAGCTTAGGAGTCCCACGATAGGACGAAACGGCCGTTCAGTGCTTCTACTTTTCCAACAGTGGTCTAAAATCAATCGGTTCATGATCGCAATCAAAAACTTAATCTCCAAGACCCGTAAACTGATATTTATAAATAATTTACCTTCCTGATGATGGTTGTGGTAGTTCTCCAAGTTTCAGCTTCTTAGAGTAGGACTGTCTTGACGTTCGTATTGAAGATTCCCACTTTCATACTAGTTGACAGTTGTTTTGAATTGCATATGTTCTTCAATTGTAGGAATGCTGACCTTGCTTTGAAAACCCTTGCCTTTACATCTGCAACAGATTCTCCTTGTTCATCTATGATGCTGCAGGCCAGGTATGGGAAGGTTTCCACCTCTTTCAGAGTTTCTCCATCAAGTGTGATTGAGTTAGTGATCTCCATTTGTATTTGAGGGTCTTGTTTTTCCATTGTGTATGTTGAGGCCCACTGATACAGAGACTGTCGCTAAACTAATTGTCTCCATCTGCATTTGTTCGTATGTATGGGAGAGAAGGGCCAGGTCATCTGCGAAGTCAAAAGCTTATAAATAATTCCGAGCTGTCTGTTGTATTCTGTGCTTCTCCTGGGGTGTTAGGGTTTTCATATTCCAGTCAAACACCAGAAGAAAGAGGAAGGGAAGAGTAAGCGGCCTTGTCTGTTTCTGGATCTCATTTGAGATGTATCTGTCAGCTGTCTGCCATGCGCTCTGCCTGTAGTTCTTCTAGGATTACTGCTGGTCCCAAGCCAGTGTACAGGAGGGGCGGTAAGATGTTGTCAGCAATCCCATCCCATAGTAAATAACCATGCGAAAATTCTAAAGTTGCCCTAACATGATTCGGTATTTTACAGATGCGTGACATTTTCACATTTTCTTAGCAGCTGAAATTTCCTTTCTCTGTCTCCACAATCGCCTCAAATATTCGGATAAATTTAAGTGACCTGGTTTGCCATGTAAGCTGTCAATAATTCGTCAAAACAGGTCATTGTGTGTTTAGCGGAGTCTACTTAATTCCCTTTGACATATCCTATTTGACAAAATGGCAATCCCAAAGACTGCTTTTTCTTCGGTGATTAACAGCGTAAGTGAACTGCCCGCTTAATTTTTCAACTCATTCACCCGATGAATATACAAATTCATTTGACTCTCATCAGAGTACACTATTAAAATTCAGTGTAAGTACTTGTATTGCAATCAATTGATTTTCTCCCTGACCTTCTGACTAGGCAGGAATATATGCAGCCTAATTGATGTTTTCTGTTCTCTTTTCACTGTTCTATTAGAAAATCTGCATTACTAATTTGCTGTCATTGGCCTTAATGATCGATGTGTATTTTTTAATGACAGCGTAAATTGATATGTGAATAAAATTGCTGATTGTCTCTGTTTGAAAGGAAATGAAATGATTAGATCAAATCAGAATGAATACATCCGGCAAGTGAAGCTGGCACATTCGTGTACATTATGGACCAAATATCCAAATGATAGCGAACAGTAAATTAAAATAAAATAGACTTATCTCAACTTTTCTTATGCTCTTGTGTACCACTTATTAGAGAAAAGATGAATGTGAGCAGGCTTGTCTGATTCTTATCTTCACTTGGAATGCATCTGTCAGTTGTCATCCATTAACGTTCTTGCAGTGTAGTCCTTCGAATGAATTCCGTATGACATTGACGATCTTCCCAGTCACTCCATAGTGTCGAAGAAGGTTCCAAGATGTTTACCTTCCCACACTGTCAAATGCTTTCCCGTAGTCAAGGAACTTTATGCATAGTGACGAGTTCCATTCAACTGATTCTTTAAAGATGTTTCGTAGTGTTGCAATTTGTTCCGGACACAATCAATCCTTACGAATCTCAGCTTATCGCTTACGAGTTTATGCATCTACTGAGTCATTCACCCGGTTCAGCAACACTTTGTTGAAAACATGTCCTGCCACAGATAGTAGTATAATACATCTGTAGTTCTCACACTTGCTCAAATCTCCTTGCTTTGGTTTCTTGATGAAGTATCCTTCTTTCTGATCTGTCGGCACTTGCTCTTCCACCAAATATTCCTGAATAGAGCGTGAAGCCTATTTGCAGTTACTTGTATGTCTGAATTTACAGTTTATGATGGCATATCATTAGGTCCTTTTACCTTTTGGAACGGGAAGTTTAGTCCTAACGTGGTTTACATTTCTCAAACTTTTGCTGTGTTCTTACGCAACAAAAGTACCATTTCTGAACTAAACAATCTATTCTAAGCTATTAGTTCGGTAGATTACATTTTTTTGAGTTTCACTCAATTTAATAGTTAACTGTGGTTTTGCCTCAGCTTACTATTTGGTTTTTTTTTCAGTTTTTTACGGAAAGGCTAGTTTATTTTATCTCATCCGTTTTTATACATTTTTCCCATTTTCAGTGTGGTTTTTAGTGTATTTTTAACGGTCTTAAGCTTTGATACTATCTCTAACACAGTTTACGCCAATACAGCCATGAAAAATTCATGCAAACGACCTGGATGCCGTTTCGCTGTAACATCTGGCATGCAGTGCGACAACTGCAAAGGTTGGTTCCACTAAACGTGCACAGATATTACGGCAACTGCTTACAATAGACTCAGCAAATCGGGCCGTAAGTGGGTGTGTGTTACGTGCAACACGGACGCTGTAGTACTGCTGAGCAACATCATTGTTCTACTGACAGGTCTGCGGAACAAGTTGTCAGTAAACTTGGAAACAGATAGCCATAAAGTAGGTAGACAAACAAGGGCGCGCAACGAAAATAAGAAAAGAGATGTTGATAAGTCAACCATCGATGGAACACGCATTAGCACTAATGATGAAATGTTGAAACTCAGCACCATCATTACGTCGACGGTAATTGACTCCCTCACTAAACTTGGATCTCCCAGTTCAGGGTCCTTAAACGCAACAGTGGCTCCTAAAATCTTTGCAGGTGACTGTACCCACGCCAACAGAGCTAATAAGGACCAGGTGTCAACGTCTAAGTTTGACATCCCAAGTGTTGTACGGACATCAACTGGTGCTTTGATCGCTAAGTCTACCTAAAACCGTCCGCCCAGTTATCAAGAAGTCTAGGACTCAAAAACCTGCTTAGACCTCCAAACAACAACGTACTGAACATGAAAGCACCGGAAAACCTGTGAAAACAACAACGGTCCGTGACGACTCTCTCATAATCATGAATCTCATAGACAATCTTGACCTTCCTCTCAGTTTTCAGGACAAAAACGACAGGATGCCCTGGGGTGAACTGAACGAAAAGCTCGAACTTCCTAGAATAGAGCCTTTGACGGTCACACGGCTCACTCGGGGAAAGGAATATAAACATCAAAATCATCCGAGACTACCTCGTGTAACACTCAAGAATGCTAACGAAGTAGAGGACGTCCTGATAGCTAGTCATCTACTGAAATCCAATGGGAACGTCAGAATACTGTCCGACATACTGTATTCTGAGCGCAATCTCATCTGGAACGTCCCTAAAGATTCTCGAAAGAAGTTTTTTCGCGGAAGAAATATCATCGTGCAAGATGTACCGGAAAACATGGACACTGGTCAAGCAAACTCTGACATTCGGGAATGGAAATTCATCAAACAGTCCTTGAGGCTCAAAAACATACTGACTCAGCATGTGATGAGACTAGCCAAGAAGGACGGGGATCCTAGACCCCGACTAATGAGAATAACTTTTCCATCCTTCCATATGGCGGCTGCAGCTCTGGAAGCATTTCGTGTCAACAGACGTCGGTTGCCAACTGGGATCCACATGCACCCAGACAGGCCATATGACGCCAGGATCAGGCACAAAGGCAATCTGGAGCTGACCATTCCACTTGTGGACTGTCTTCAAGATAAAAAAACGTGTAAAGGACAGGGCCTACCAATTCGACAAAACTTGTATAGGTGAGTTACCTGTCCACTCACGTAAGGCTCTCACAGACAAACAGGAAGAAGCTCGCGCGTTTCAAATTGAAAGTATTAACTGCTTATACATGAACGCCGCGAGTCTGCCAAATAAAATGGATGAACTACGTGAACTTAGCAATGCTAATAAGGTTCCTCTGATAGGAATATCTGAAACCTGGATATATTCTCAGTTTTCGGACCACGAGCTAGCAATACCTGGGATGTCTCTGTTTCGCAATGACAGAAAAACAGGAATTGGGGGTGGAGTAGCCCTATACATACGATCTGGCTTGGAGGTACACCAAGCTCACAACCATGAGTTTGACAATCTTGAGTAATCCATATGGTGCTCTATGAGATTGTCCACTACTTCGAGGTGCCTAGTCGGAGTCATATATAGGAAGCCCACTGCCGACATCGAGTATGACAGTCGTATGCTGGAAGGACTATCCCGCTCCAAACGTCTCGGTTTCACTCATATCCTGATTCTAGGAGACTTCAATCTCCCTAGAGTCAACTCCGCAGAACATACGTATATTGGAGGTGAAAATTCAATCGAAGCTCGGTTCTTCAAC